TGTAGGGGATTACCTGGGAATTTGATAAAACCATAAATTATTGTGAGACAAGATTTCTTTTTTATTCAGATGCAGACATTGCCGTGTAAAAATGAGAGTGGAGTAGACCCAAAACTGCGGAATGCGTCGCACGTTTATTAGACGTTATTACGGTTATTTCAACTGGGTTAATGACGAAGGGCATACCCCATACAGTGTGCTATGAGGGAAATTGTGCCCGGGCAGCGGCGCTACGGCCCACTCTTATATCGAATTCCAAATGCCAGGGGATCTTTTAAGTGCACGCTAATTTGTACACGGGATCTCAGTATTTCGTCCCATCCGAACGACTAGACAGCTGTCCTTGTCAGGCCCTCCGTCCTGCATCTTATTTCAATGAATGCAGGAGAGAAAAATGTGGTCTAGATGCGCGAGCAGGGTCGTTCCGGACTCCTTTGGTCACACGTTTGAGTACATCAAAGCTAAGGGACATGTATTTTGAAGAGATGATCTTTAAATTCACTTTAGATAAAAGTGCGATTCTGTCAAATGTTCTGAATTCTGTATTCGCCATAACACGTGCTATAATTGACAGGAAGGATGTCATTAATGGCAGCCTGGTCATCTTCTTTAAATCAGGTCAATTAAAATGGTTGCCCAAAATATATCAATTTGTTCCATCGGTGTTAATTTAAACGGACCTGTCGTTCAACACAATGATCTATTTACAGGATTCTAGTAGCCTAGGTTTTACTGGATTTGGTAGAAAGTAAAACGCTCATAAACGTATCAAATCCTCATCTCCTATCACCAAATCTGCCTCGTAACCTTTCCCGTCAAAATCTCATTTTATGATAAATTTTTTCGACCTGGAACTGAACACCAAGCGATACCCATCTGGTTTTTCTTGGGGGGGGGGGGCGCTCTTCGAAAAAATTACATTGCTCCACTAATTCCACTCGGTAATCCTCGGCAGATTCCGGTACTCTACATCTGTCAGCTGTATGACGGTAAGGGATATGTACCCACACTCATACAATTGTGATGCGGCTATCGGTTTACTTATTAGGGAAACTTGCCGCTTGTAGAAAGAAGTTCTAAATGATAAGCCCTGCTCGAGATATAAACAGGGCTCGCGCTAATCCCAACCCTAACCCTAATCCTGGACGTAGCCCCAATGCTTATCTACAATCTCGCCAACAATCATGATAAAAATTGAGCTAGCCTTAACAAATAGATTTAGTCGTCGTTCAAAGAGTGTGTGGAATTTCCATTGCAAAGTTGTCCTTGTTTAAAGAAAATCGGATAAACCTGAAAGAAAAACAGCTTCAGACTTTGAAAAAACATTCTTCAAAGGCGTCGTCATGGGCGACACCTTTGGTAATCCGGGACTATATGTAGGTTCCTGGAATCTGGTGAGTTTTGCCCAGTGCCACTAATTCATGTCCGATCGACATTAAGCTTGGCTTAGAAAAGTGCGCATCGATTTCTGTTGAAAAGTAAACCATGGTTATATAAATTGCTGACCAATTGTCAATGTAATACTGAATCATTAAACATTCGACTCATTTTAATTGCCGACCAATTATCAATGTAATACTGAATCATTAAACATTCGACTCATTTTGGGGACTATTAAAAGGGGTCTCTGTCGGTTTGTCGGTCGGTCGGTCTGTCGGTCAGTCGGTACGTCCTCCCATCCGTACACAATACAGTACACGTCAAACTATCAAAGGGTGTTTTCGCTGGGGGGGGGGGGGGGAATCCCGACAGAAAAACAACTATTTTTCATTTCATACAGAAGATCAGCAAGTGCACCCATGGCGTAGTGACCCATTATTTTGCATGAGGAAGAAGATCCCGTATGGGGCCCCAAAAAACAATATTTATATGTGTGTGCTGGTGGGGTGGGGTGGGGTGGTCCCTCTCAGTGCTGCTGGGTGTGGATCATGCTGGAGTTGAGTTGAAGCATATGTTTGACACTGGTCAAGCATCATGATTATGATTATAATATTGAAACCGAGTAATTTTTTGCCATTTGCGAGGGGGCACAAAAACTCAAGGTGGCACAAAAACTCAAAATCATGACTCAAAGCTCGTCATTGTGTCCCTCCCACTTAGCCCCTGCTTTAGACCAACCACATGCGCACTTATTTGGAGGTGAGGGCATAGGCGTAAGGGCCGATTTTCGCCCGTAAAATATGTCGGCAGGGCCCAAAAAATGAACCTATATAACTTTTCCAGATGGCACCCCATCGGCCAGTATAGAGCTAATTTTCTGGAAATGCAGTTTGTGTTTAAGAACTAGACACCTTTAATCTAAATCAGAATAAATGTGTGATTTTCTGAAACTCTGAACTCCGGTTGGGCATTGCATCACCCCACCCAATAGTCCGTAAAAATCCCAGATTTCGGGCACTTTATTTTGCGGGATGGAATAATTTCCATATTTTTCATTTTATTTCTAACTAAAATTGTTATTCTTTTCATCATGTGGCCACTGACCGAAAAATTGTATGATCGCCAGAAACAATTTTTATGACCAGAAAAAAAGTTGTTTTTCCCGACTTCGGGTAGGAGTGAGGGGCATTTTTAAACATTTTACACTACACCTACAGTAGCCAACATTGAACGATCACAGCCAGGGTGGTATGTATGGCCGAATGGTTTAACGCGTGCACATTGCAGCAAAAGGTATGTCATACAGTTAAGTGGCGGGGTTTCAATTCCCCGCTTGTACAAAACAAGGAGTTGGGTCTTCTGTTTTCTCAGAGTGTTCTGATTTCCTCCCACAACTAAAGAATCCTACGTGCAAGTGAATTATTGAAATATAATTGAAGCATACGTTGGTCCCGAAAAGACCTAGTTTATGTTGAGTGGACGTTAAATTCCATTTCTCTTTCTGTCTCTCTGTCTCTTGAACGAGCACTTTGTCTTGGGTAAGATTGCTTTTCACCCTTCAACCAACAAGGAAGTAGACAGATGCGAATGTTTAACAAACAAAATACGGATTTGTTTTTAATTCCTTGACATTGGTCTACACTACTTTGTGTGGTTAGTGTGGTTGTTCCATAAAAAGACAGACAAAAAGACAATTAAAACATCAACTAAATTCCTGTGGACAGCTATACATGTCCTGTATACAGATCTAGGTCATTACAGTCACGATATAAAATTAACAGTGTTTAGCTATGAAATGAAATGGGGTTTAACGCCCTACTGTTTTGATCCAACTGGGCTGATAAAGACGGACTTACGCCATAGCCTACAGTGTGCTATGATGAAAATTTTGCATAGTCTTATATCGAATCCCAACAACCAAGGGATCTTTTATGGTAGCACGATATACCAAATCCACCATCAATTCAACTCATATAATAATAATAATTTAATATATCTATATTTGATGTTCTTATGCCAAATTGGCATTTTTAATTAGAAAATCCTAACGTTTTCTTTCAAAAATTTTAATATCCCTCAAAATGTCATTTCCAAACAAGCATTTCGTGCAATACGCGAGTAATGTCCTTTAATTGGTTATAACTTCCAAACTTGCCTGGAAATCGTTTTTTGAGGGGGAATTTGATTTGAATTTGAATTTCAAAATGACAATCCAGCATAAAAAACCCGGCATATTATCAAATATCGATATAAATTATTGTGATATGAATTGCTTGGAAATCGTATTTTGAAAGGAATTTGGACACCAAACGATACGCTACGATTGTAAATTAAAAAAGACAATTCGACATAAAGAACGGTAGACCTACCGGTATATCAAATATCGATATAAATTATTGTCTTGTAAGTTGAAATAATGGTGGATTTGGGTAGATTTGGACGGAATTGGATAAATCGGGATACCCAGTCACGCCAACCTGTAGGATTCACGGGGCCGATGTTTTTGGACCATCCGAACGACTAGATACGTTGTACCTTGCCAAGCCCTTCGTCTTCGTGGAACCACGCCGGAAAATCCTGATGAACGTTTTAGGCCAACACTAGGATCGAACACAGGACCTCCAGGTAATCTTTCCAACGTCTTACTCATTGAGTCACCGTGGCTCCCTTACGTCAATAGAATTTGTAGAAACATGCAGTAGAATTTTGCACACTGATCAGCAGTGAATATTCGCTAGGCCGCTACAATCACTGATAAGGATGACATCAATGCGACTTAATGGATCTCAAATATTAACTTTTTTCCACCGATAAATTAAATTTTCTAAAACCTAAAACATTTTTTTGATGTATTAGAAAAATAAATAAAGACGTTTGACGTATTTGTAGGTAAAAATTATTTCCTATTTAGTGTAAATGGGTATTAAATGACTAAAAGGCAGCATTCTGCCCGAAGCAGTAACATCTTATGTAAACAATGCACGCGCCATTCAGCCAATGATTGACGCCACGTGCTGTGACGGCACGTGTTGAAGGCAGTCATCTTTTACAGAGATTATAGAAGACTTTCGAAATTCTCTGTGAAACCGATTGAGAATTTTGTCATGCTAAGTTAATGCAATCAAAGGGAAATAACCCTAAAAACTCCGAGAAAACTGGAGTTGTTCCCCATTAATTATTGTCTTAAATCCACTGCTAAGTTAATCACATTGGTACGTTTCTTTGCCTAAGTCCCGATACGATTGCGCCACTTTTTCAATATAGACTTTGAATTTAAATACTCTACAGGGTCGATGGGTTTTACATTTCCATTTCTTCAAATAAATTTGAAATCGGGATTACCCAAAACTATTTATAGCAACGATATCGAAGGTAACTTCGGTCGAAAAAAGACGTCAATATTTTTAGGCGTGTTTTAAATATTGAAGATCCACGGTATTTTATTACTTTTTTTTCAACGAATCAATTTATATTCATCTTCAAAACAACCATAATTGTGTTGCGTTCTGCGTGGCAAATGTCATTGTGATTAATGAACAGGTTCTTCCTCGGGGAAACCCTAAAATACACAGAGTAGTTTAGAATCAATTATTATACACGCCCGAAGATGGCCTAATTTAGGTCACTGTGGAGTTGTTTCACATTTGTTATTGTTTTTCCTGATGTTTGACATTGTTATTTAATATACGTGTATCTTCAGAAAGAAGCTTTCCATCTTAGGTTTGTATGTTTGCGTTGTTGTATATTTCTGGTTCGATTGTGGTTTGTGGTCTTGGTTCTAAAATATTTCTGCTAGACAGTAGAGACTAAGATTTGAAATTGAAGTAAATAAAATGCATTTCTAAATTCTAGCAATATTTCAATTGCGGAAACAGAAAGTGAAACTAAATGAAATTATGAATGACAGACTTAGCGATTTATGTTTCATTCTTGATTATCTGGCTATCAATACTATCATATTCATTTATAATAGTATTTATAGTCTTATACAAATTATAATGAGGAACATTCGGATGCAACGAAAAACTGAGGTCCCGTGTAAAAGATCCCTTGGTAGTTGGAATTCGATAGAGTAGGCCATATTGCCACTGCCCTTGCAAAGTTTAACTTATAGCACACAGTATGGCGTATGCCTGTCTTCAGTAGCCCAGTCGGAGCAGAACAGTAGGACGTTAAACCCCATTTCATTTCAATTTATACCCTTGCTCAATTAACTGCCCTCCTCCCCCACGAAAAACACACCTCCCACTGTAGTAGTTTAGAGGACAGGGTTCGATCAGAGACTGTTCCTAAAGGAACTACTCGCACTGTTGTGTATATTAGTTTGGAATACTTATCTTTTCATTCCTCAAGTTGCATGACAAGTTGATTAACAACTCGTAATGAATCATTGGCAAAAGAACCCTTGATAGTTGAAATTCGATGAAGATCTGGATGAAATGTCACTGTTTGGGCGAAATCCCTTATATCACATTAAAATGTACAAGATATATCCCATCTTCATTAGCCCAGGGAGGGATGGATGGCCAAATGGTTAGCATGCGCGCATTGTATCGTAAGACGTAAGGTCTGTCATTGAGTCACCTGGCGTGGTCTCGATTCCTTGGTTGTACATGACAAGGAGTAGGATCGCCTGTCCAACCTCGTCAGTTTTCTGCGGGTCTTCAGGTTTCCTCCCACTGCTAAAGACCCCTACGCGCAGTGAATTATTGAAATAAAATAGAACCATATGTCAGTCTCGGAATGACCCAGTTTGTATAGAGTGGACCTTAAACCCCACCCCTCTCTCTCTCTCTCTCTCTCTCTCTCTCTCATTATCCCAGTTGATGCAGAAAAATAAGCTGTTGATCGCCAATTTCATTTGCCCTCTGAAATGTATCCATCTTAAATATATGCATCTTTTTTATTTTTAGACGTACAAGTATTGGTTTAAAAGGTGAGGATGGGCAATAAGGAATCCTCACAGAACAGTGATGTTTACTCGTATCACGAAGATGTTCTAAAACAAGGTGCCGAGGCAATAACTACCGGATCAGATGATGATTCATCCGACGAGGAAATGCAGGAAGGACCGTCTCAGTCGAAGCAAAATGAATCTGATGACACAAATGGTTCATCTAATGAAGATGTTGCAGTCAATGACAAACCTAGTTCTGAGAATAGTTCGGAAAGGGAAATGGAAGAAATTGTCAATGATTTAACTCCATCGTCCACCGAGTCATCTCCATTAGATCATCAGATCCCAGAAACAGAAACTTCTTCAGACACAACTCCTTCCTCAACAGAGTCATCGCCAGTAGATCTTAGAATCCCCGAAAGTAGCTCATTGGCCAATCAGAATAAAGATAAAGAAGACCAAGCAGCGTTTGTCACTCCCCCATCATCAAGGGAGAATTCACCAGTGCCAAGACGCAGCAGACGATTTTCACAAAATGTTTCAAAAGACAAAAGTGCTACAAAACAACGACTGTCAATGAGAGATTCTGATGATAGTCAGGAGGAGATGCTGACAGAGGAACCCAAAGAAGAGTTTGTTGCAGTTGTTACACGATCCAAGACCACCACATTAATTACCAATGAAGGTTCATCTGAAGGCCAGCCAGAGAAAATATCAGAAGCAACCACATCATCAAAAAATAAGCAACTGGATAATAAGTCTACCATCAAAAGTCGTAAACGTTCGATATCTGACACGTCATCAGACTCTCCCAACAAACCAGCCGTCAAAACAACAGGTGGATTTGATAGACCCTTTGTTACCGCTGAACGAGGAATTCACATGACTAAGAAAAATGCTGTCCATCTTCAAAAAGTTTTTCATAGGTCGTCATCAAAGCTTAAACAAATACCTATAGAAACAGAAGTTTCACCCAGTTCCTCAGCAAGTTATGACAGTGTCACAGAGGTGTCTACCAACCCAAACGATAACAAAAAAGAAAAAGTCACAAAAACGTTCAAATCAAAGATAGCTACAGAAGGTACAACTAATCACAGAACATCACAAGATAGACCTGTTAATAAGGATTTAGCGGAGTCTGAAGCAAGGGTTAATGGATCAACAGAGAAATCAAAAGATAACCAAAAGGGAAAAAATGGGGCATCTCGATTGAATGTGCTAGAATCAACAACAGCTACAGAAGAAACAACTGTCCACAGAACATCACAAGTTAAAGATGTTCATAAGAGTTTGGTTGGAGGATCAGGAGAAAAATCAGCGTTGAAGACAGAAACAAAAAGAATAATGTCTACAGAACTTACATCTACGCAGGAGAAATCACTTAATCCTCTGTCAGTCTCTCAGAATAAGAGAGAATTATCAAAGATACTAGTCAAAAAATCGGTTGACCGTTTCTTCCATAGATCACCAATAGACGAGAAGTTATCAGGAGCACCACCAGTGAAAAGTCCTTCATCCAATGTTGACAGACCAGCCACCACAGGTGTTTTAATTTCACCAGTAGCAAAAAGAGAAAATAATGTTTTAAAGAAATCTTCTTCACAATCATCTCACACTGAAAGAAACACTTCACAAAACAATAATGTCACTGAAGAACCCATGGACACATCTTCATCTGCATCAGGTACAAATCCTTCAGAAATTGTTCCTGCTTCGTTGGATAAAAATAGAAAGTCGATCAAGAGTTCGTCAAATATTTCAGAAATTTCAATAAAAAAAGCAAAAATACCACTGGCAGATGCAAGCGCTTCTGGACCCATATTAAGGGTTCCATTGATGCCATCAACAGGAGTAGTATCTCCTGTTCAAGTAGTTCCTGGAGCATCTATGGATCTTCCAAAGATTCCAATTGATCCAAGGTTCTCAGTTCTTCCCATTTCTCAACAAACTGCAACAACACCCTCTCCAGCCGCGAGCCCTGCTCAACCAATGACTTCTGGACCAGATCATGGCGTCTTTCAATTAATGGAATCATTTAATATGTCTGTTAAGCTGGGTGATATTACAGAACAGCGTACAGAAGCAATAGTTAATACTACAGACAGACAACTAGCACATGTTGGTGGTGTGGCACGTCATATTGCAGCCGCTGCTGGACAACAGATGATCAACGAATGTCAAGCTATTCTAAATCATCGTGGTAGACCACTAGAGACTATGGATGTTATTGATACATGTGCAGGTGGACGTTTCAATCGAAGAGTCAAAAAACTTCTTCATGTTGTGTCTGCCATGGGAAGTTACAGAGCAGATAAAGCTGTAGTCGATAAACTTATCCACACATTTCTGCAGTGTTTGAAACATGCCGATCGTAACCTTGATTGTTCATCCATATCATTTCCTTTATTAGGAGCAGGTGAATATATATATTAGAAACGTTTTTCATTATGTGGTCAACCATATGTTAGTCCCAAAATGACCTGGCTTATGTCAGGTGGATATTAAACTCCATTTTTTCTGCCTTCATCACGATATACATAGTTTGTCAATGACTTGAATTGATAACAGGTCACGTTACCAGGTCATTTCGGGACTAAAATATGGTTCAATTTTGTTTCCAAAATTCGGCAGCGCGTAGGGGTCTTTAGCAGTGGGAGGAAACTGGAGAGGACAAGCGACCCTACGCATTGTCACGTACAAACAGGGAATCAAAACCACAATGGGCAAGCGCTAACCATTCGGCCACCCAACCCATTGCACATAAAAGCCCATGACACTTGTCTGGACCAAATGTTCCCCACACATGTAGCAAAATGCATCGTATAGTACATGTACATGTATATGGCTTTTTTATATGGCCACATGGACATGTCGTATATTCACATTGCCATTAATCTGTCTGTTGTGCACTGTATCAGTTTGAAATTTATATAATATTGTTTACATCAGTGTGACGAAAAAGGGTATTTAATTTCAACAATTTCTTTGTGGAACCTTGTACACATTTGATCTGTATGAAATGGACATCAGTGTCATGTAAATGCTCCCGTTAACTACAAAAGTATAAATATTCCACGACCCTGTGCTATGAGGATTATTTTGCCCGGAGAGCAACACTACGGTCTACTCTGTGTCAGGGGACCCAGGTTTTTTGGGCCGTCAGAATGACTATGCATTGTACCTTGCCAACCCCACCATCCTGCGTGTATTTCTCGACCAACCTAGAGATGAACATCTTACTCACTAAGTGACACGGCTCCCTAATTCAGCTTACATGTACATGTAGCCCTCAAATAACTTTTTTTGTTGAATAATAATTTTTCTACTTTTGTTTTCAGGTTCGTATCTTCCAGACACGAGTATCAATGCATTCTACAATGCTGTGTTAATATTTCTCTCTGATCGCGGACCAAGCTCGAAGTTAAACGATGTCAGACTAATTTTAAACGATGTCGAACTTCATCAATTTGCAGTTGACTATTTTGGTTCGTGCTATGAGAATATATTAACTAATGGAATTGAAGGTGCCATTGCTGACGCTGTAAATAGTTTATATGGTAACAATACCTGGGAAACGCAACAGAAGTTGCTAAATCGGTTCACATCGGGGAATAATGGCAGAAGTGGTGGTGGTGGTGGAAGTAGTAGTAGCGATGGTGGTGATTCAGCGCAAAACTTATTCCGGGGTTCAGCTGTGAAAAGACCAAGACTATAGAAATTTTATCCAGTGATGTGTTATTATTTAAGAAATTTTATCCCGTGATGTGTTATTTTAAAGTATCTTAATTTTAAAGTTTTACATTTTAACGGAAACTTTTTAATTGAATACTAATGATACTCGATTTTAAATTGTTACTATACAGAGAGAGAGTGAAGTGGGGCTTAACTCCACTCGACACAAACTAATGCTACAAGGCAATGAGGAAGCAATTAGTAGTTGCCGATTCACAAATGACATAATAATCATAAAAAACATGTAGAATGAACTCAGCAGACGTACACAACTGTCGTTCAATTTGGATGAATCATGTAATTCACCGAACATAACTGATTACAAATTACAATCATGTAATTCACCGAACATAATCGATTACAAATTACAATCATGTAATTCACCGAACATAATTGATTACAAATTACAATCATCTAATTCACAGAACATAATTGATTACAAATTACAATCATGTAATTTGCTGAACATAATTGATTACAAATTACAATCATGTAATTCACCGAACATAATTGATTACAAATTACAATAGTTTTTTTTAAAATTGAATATGAATAACTTTGTACAAAAGAATAGGGTGATACAGCTTTTATTTAGTGCTTTTAGTTATTTACAAATTGTTTACTGTACTATTGTTATTGGTGTATATGTAAATATGTTTATAAGATATGTTACATATAATATATTGATTTTTGTTTGCCCCAATAAAATTCCGTCGCCCCTGTCTGTCGGTCTGGCTATAGTTGAATAGACTTTAAATTTATATGCAGTGTTTAAGGTCATGAGACGAAGAATCCTATTGATTTTCAACAATTCCTGATAATTAGTGCCAGAGTTATGGCCCTTGATCACTTTGAAAAACTTGTGGATATTCTAAAGGCTACGGTTAATATCAGTTTTTAAGATCATGAGATGAAGTAGCCTATTGATTTTAAATGATTTCTGATAATTACTGCCAAAGTTATGGCCCTTGATCACTTTGAAAAATCTTGTGGATACTCTAGACTCTAGAGGATAAAATTAATATCCGATTGACTTTAAATTTATTCACAGTGTTTAAGAGGTCTATTGATTTTCATAATTACTGCCATAGTTATAGACCTTGATATTAAATGTTTTGTATACTAAACATTAGCATAGGGCAGAACTAGAAGTCAAATATGTTATTGTACTCGGATTTTGTGTTATAAATCTTTTCATTACTGACTGCTCGGATGACTTAGCTGCTGTTGGCGTACATATTTCGTTGCCTGGCAGTCTATCTTTTAATTATAATATTGTGTATTTTAAGAAATAACTATAAAACAGTAGGTTTACTATTGTTCAAAAGGTAATGGAATTGGCTTATAACCTACTTTAATGAATCGTTGCTTATATTTATATACAATCTGATTAAAGTACACATCTATATTTCGTTTCCTTTTTTTATACTTTCGATGGCCTGCACTACATGAAGAACTGACCGGTTGTACGTGACAAGGAGTAGGGTCGCCTATCCAACCTCATGGGTTTTCTCCGGGTCCTCCATTTTCCTACCATTGCTAAAGACCCCTACGCGCAAGCGAATTATGAAAATAAAATTGAACCATATGTTAGTCCCGAAATGACCTAGTTTGTGTTGAGTGGATGTTAAACCCCATTTCTCTCTCTATATATATATATATTGTGGGAACGAGAGGTTTAATACATACACTTCACATCATAAGATCTGTCAGTCAAGTCTTGTGTTTTCTATTTCATGTGACCAGAGTATGGTCTCCTGCTAGACCATGCAGGATTTTTCTGGGTCTCCTGCTTCATCTGCCACTGCCTAAGCAATTTATTGAATAAAGATTACTCTCTCTCTGTCTTTCTCTTTCTCTCGGGTGTTTTAGACCAGCTTAAAGATACATTATGGGAGATATAATAAAGAGATGGCAGTTCTCGCTATAATAGTTAAAAACTAGATAGTGTAAAGGTAATTTGCTGAGAATTTCAGTCAAATTGATCCACTATGAGCCGAGAAACAAGCGGGTGAAATTTTTGCATAGTCTCGGTCATCATTACTAGAATCATTAATATAAACAGCATAATCTCGATCATCCACTTTTATTGATTTAATTATCAATAGCCGTTAGCGGCATATAGGAATCTAATCCAGCCAACATCGAAGGCTAGCCTTGACATCGAGAGGTTATTATGGTCTGGATAAGTTAATTAATGTTTAATTGATAATTTAGAAAGACTTGTAATAAGCAGATTTTGCTCTTGCATAATGCATGTTTAATCTGAAGTAAAAAAGAATAGCAATGGTCCTGTAATACAGAAAGCTATTCACATATCCAGTTCAGATGGTCTAGGAAACAACTGTTTCAGATTGTTTCAGAGGGTTTCGTTCTATCTTTTAAGTTATTTGTCTTTGAGTTAATTCTTACATGGAGTTGGATGGAATTAACAAAGAGTATTGATGTGCTAGAATGTTGAATGAGCTAGAATGTGCTAAAATGTCTGATGTACTGATATGTCAAATGTGCTATAATGTATTAAAATGTCAGATGTGCTAATACGTCAAATGTGCTATGATATTAAAATGTGCTGATTTCTAAAGACTAAAACAGTCTGGTTACATCTGTGTAATGAACATATGTGTAATGAAAGTTTAAATATGCATGTTATTGTTTATATTGTTATTGAATTTGAGATGTAATAAAAAAACTGTGACTTTTTTTCCTGTTTTTTTTTTACCTAGGCAAATTTGTGACTTTTTTACTGTGCCCTTTTTCCTGTGACTTTTTTTCCGCGCACCACGCACAAGCGAATTATTGAAATAAAATTAAACCATGATAGTCCCTAAATGACCTAGTTTGTGTCTAGTGGACGTTAAACCCCATCTCTCTGTCCTCTCTCTCTCTCTCTCTCTCTCTCTCTCTCTGCCCTTGCAGTCTACACGAATGCTAGCTGGATAGGGAAACAATCCGAACATTTGACAAAACAAACATGGATACAGACGAACCTTTAGACAAATTAACATTGTACATATATATGTATTGTTTAATGGTCGAGAGCGAGACATTAAGTAATATATTGCAACAACAAGAGGGCCGTGAGGCCCGAGTGTTTTTACAATATATTACGCAATGTCTTAAGCTTGAGACTATTAAACGACTTAAAATACAAACACTCCGCACGTACTTTTACAGTGAAATACGCCACACAAGTCCAATTTATGTAAGTCGTTTGCGTCAGCCTGGGTCTATCCAGTAATATACCAATATTAAACATACATTATGCCAGAGCAAAATCTGATTATTGCAAGTCTTAATTTAGGCTTCAGATGTTATAGAAATTATAAATTAGATCTTTATTTAAACAAGCCCAAAATCGACTCTCTAGACCCACGGATGGCTCGGCTACAGCTCGGATTTAAATAGGATTTCACTTATCAATTAATTCAAATATGGCGCATCCTGATGAGAATACGTCAGTTAGATCGAGGCTAAATGATAGAGTGTACTTAGCGAGGCCGCTGTAGAGCGTTTCCACATGCCATTGAAAACTTTACCTGATAATCGAGATATGTAGGTGGAGTTAACGCCTGTCAATCAAACGATCGGCAAAGGTGAAGGCACATTTCACTACCATTTCTAGTCAAATATTACAACGATGATAACTATGTTCAGAATAAAGTAATTTGACTGAAATTTTCAATATATTCTTCTTTCATCATCTACTTTTGAACTGTTATAGCAAGAATGGCCAATTCTCTATAAAAAATCTCCCATAATGTATCTTTAATATACCACGTGTCTTTAATTATCAGGGGGGTTGGATGGCCGAATGGTTGGGAACAAGTTGTTTCGACACCGAGCTGATTCGACACCCGCTACCTGAGTTGTTTCGATGGTTACATCTCACTGTGCCCACTTTTGATTAATCCAATTAAGGTCTAATTAGGATTAGTGTATTAAGCGGATTAGGATTAGGTGTTATAGGTAATTAGATGGAAAAAACAAATATTGAAAGTGACTAAATATTCAGTCTTATAATTGGTGAGATGAACTCACTGTAATCGTTAAAGTGATGAATTTTATTCAAAAAATGACACTTGAATATAATGTGAATTATGTTCAGTAAGCCTACACATTACACGGTCTTTATAAGGACACACAGAAGTCAGTCTGTCATATTTCATCATGGCAAACGTTCAAGTAAACATCCAGTACATCCCCAATGCTCAAGGTGGAGAAAACTTAGTCCATGAAGAATACAAATTCCGAGTGAAGAATAGGAAGGCAGAACGAGTATACTGGAGATGTTGTATAAAAGGTTGTCCAGCAACCCTGAACACCCACCAAGGCTTTATTACCAAATGATATATCCATGTATGTTATATTTTTATTAAATATTTTATATATAAAACATAGAAAATTGTTATATTTTCATTAAATTATAAAGTGCTAATGTGATGTATGATATATCCATGTATGTTATATTTTTATTAAATATATATAAAACATCGAAAAATAAAAAAAAAATTACATAAAATATTGGGGATTTTTTTCCATCTAATTACCTATAACACCTAATCCTAATCCTCTTAATCCACTAATCCTAATTAGACCTTAATTGGATTAATCAAAAGTGGGCACAGTGAGGACACACCGTTTCGATACCATCTATTTGGGTCAGCTTGATTAGGATTTGATTATATAGGATTATAGCGGTACTCTTTTCTTATTAACACATCAAATCAATTCCGATTTAGAAACCATGTATTTGATTAGGTTGATTATATAAGATAAGTGGTTGATTGAATAAAGATTTTAAGTGTTGTTTTTTTAACACCAAACTTGTTTAATTTAATAATTTTTATTTTTAAATTTAAGCGCCTCTTTTGTTTTTTTAAACATCAAATCAATTCCGATGTAGAAAACAAACGGAGTATAAGCTTAGAACCTTCTATATAATTCGACAAAATGAAGTTTTCATCGTTGTCTACAATATCACCCTAGGTGGAAGTGGACGTAAAACTCTAGAAACGAACGAACGAGTTTTCGTCATTTGATATCAATATCGGATGATACATATCAAGTTTACAATGGATACATGTATTTTTTGTTTAGCTACCGTGCGTCCAAGGCAGGAAGGGATTCAATGCCAACAGTGTGGTTTGTTGCAACACAGAACTTGTAAAACAGGCACGTGGGAATCAAACATATTTCAAGAAACTTTAGTAATTACTAATTTAATAAAATAAGAATAGATTATTCGCTTAATATTAATACGCCATCTTATGAATAATATGCGGTAATACAATATTAAAGATACATTATGTAAGATTTAGATAAAGAGCTAGCCTTTCTTGCTATAATAGTTCGAAAATAGATTATGTAAAATGAATAATTTGAAAATTTCATTCAAATTACTCTATTGCAAGCGAAGATATTAGCCTCTGAAGGTTTGACAGACGTGTGCAATAATTTCAACCACCGTACTGGTTGTTCGAAGCTAAGTCTCGCTCCTCCATTTTTCGCTTAAATCAAAATATGGCTGAACCATTCTAATCTATTTAACATCGGAGAAATCTGTTGCCATCGAGAGTTGATTAAGGCCTGGATCAGTTAATTAATGTCTAATTAATAGTTTAGAAAACATTTCAGGCCTAAAGAAAGACCTGCAATAAGCAGATTTAGCTCTTGCATAATGCATGTTTTAACTACAGATTATTTAAAATAAACATATTTATTTTCAGGGATATCACAAGCTACGTACAGAAGAGCTGTGAAAGGTTTAGAAGAGATAGCATGGAAATGTGTATCGTGTTTAAACGTAAGTTATTATATGTATATTTAAAAATGATGTAATATTAAAATAAGTCTATAATTTTACTTACCGTTACATACCATATATACCACTATCACGCTGTTGCTGAATTATTAGTATTAAGAAATGGGGTTTAACGTCCCACTGTTCTGCTCCTACTGGGATAATGAAGACGGGCATACGCCATACAATGTGCTATGAGGGAAATTTTACCCGGGCAGCGGCACTATCGCCTACTCTTATATCGAATTCCAGCTGCCAAGGGATCTTTTACGTGCATTCCGATGTATACACGGTACCTCGGTTTTTCGTTTCATCCGAAGGATTTGTCAGGCCCTCCGTTCTGCACCACTGACAAGGGGGAACCGCGCCGGAAGATCTGGATGAACTTTCTCGGCCAATGCAGGGATCGAACACCCGACCTTCATCGTATTAAGAACAACATATACTATTATTATATGTATATTACTTACCGTTACTTACCATATATACCACTTTTATAGGCCTATCCTGCTGTTGCCGAGGTTTTTTTGTCGGACGACGACATGGAAACGAATGAAACCAGTACCGGGTTTGATTTCGCTCCTGATGAAGGCCCGAACGTATCCAACACCCCTAATGGAGAATCCTTTACAGTAGATCGGTCTATCACGCTACCAGAACCCATATTAGACGATTCCATCGAGGAAGACGCTCCGGTGTTTGATGTCGCTCCTGAAGAAGGTCCGAGATATACTGTTGTTTCCGAGGCATCAAAGAGGGGTCAACCCAAGTTACTGGACAGAGAGGGTTATTCCTACACGTTTAAGGTAAATTGATCTCGTATACGTACATATAATTTGTTATATCTTTTCTATGGCAGTATATTAGACTCAAAATTCTAACATGCTATCGTCTAATTTCTAACTTCTATTCATGTAATTTCTAAATTAAGACAATGTATAATCCAACTTCTTTTTTTGTTCAGTGTAAATTTTAATTCTGTTTCATCTTATTTCTATTATTAAGACGGAAAAATGTCAACTTTGTTGTCGCTCTACATGTTAAGCATGAAAGTCAAACAAATTTAGAATTTTGATATTTCTATTTAGCAGCCATCATTATGACGTCGTTTGCGGGTTGGATGGCACGCGGGCTGTATCATACGGTCTGTCATTGAGTCAACTGGCGGGGTATCGATTCCCCGGTTGCACGTGACAAGGAGTGGAGTCGCCTGTCCAACCTCGTGAGTTTTCTCCGGGTCCTCCGGTTTCCTCCCACTGCTAAAGACCCCTACGCGCAAGCGAATTATTGATATAAATTAAACCATTTGTTAGTCCCGAAATGACCTAGTTTGTGTCGAGTGGACGTTAAACCCCATTTCTCTCTCTCTTTCTCCGTCTATCGACTTCTATAAACAGATTAACTACACGTACTTTCGATTATTTCAGAAACAATCCACCAATGGAAATAAACACTGGAGGTGCAGCTATCGCCAGAAACATTTATACTGCCCCGCAACAGTGATACAAACCGCCGACATTTTTCTCCTGGGTTTAAAGGACCATGTCCATTCCGCGGAGCCCGGTATACATATTGCCATCAACATTACGGCAGAAGTAAGTATTAACTATAGTAACTATAATTATTTTTTATGCAGCGGGTAAATAACTAACTAAACCAGCCACGTGGATATTTTAATTTATTAACATATATAATTATTTATTATTTACAGGTTCGAAAGAATTCCGATAAGGACATGTTTACGACGTCGGCCCCTTGTTACGTCAAGCAAGTGTACGGAAAATTGGGATCTGACACTGTGCCCCATTACAGCCGTCCAAAACTTGGTAATTTGGTTAGGGCCGTGAATCGACAAAGACAGGCTATACGGACAAAAAGATCAGGACAAGTCGGCTATTGAGAGAATGCGCTTTTATGTATGGTCCATCTGTGGAAGCATCCGAATAAAATTGTATGTATTGATAATTTTAAAGGGCTTATACCCGATATTTTTTTGGAGAATAAAACTGCTTTATTTTATGTTATTATAATCCCTTAAAAGCCTTTATATTTGTGATAAGTTTTCGAAAATCTGGAAACGGAGACTGGTGTAACAAGTTGTATTATGCAATGTCTGGATAAAACCAGACTTTTATTTTATAAAAAAAAATAATGTGTAGGTGAAATCTATCAAGTGCAGCACATGAGGCATTTACTGTATAGACCTCTCAAGGAACGGGAATCGATTATCAGGTCATCCAAGTTCCAACGAACAAATTGACCCGAAATCTTAAAACGGTTACGTGTCCGTATAAACAGTTTTGACGTTCACGTCCAAACGACTCAATATTTTGAGCTGGAATTTTGAGACAAGGTAACTACACCCTTCCTCTATAATTCGACGCTTTAATTTCATACGTACACCGACTTTTATTTTTAAGACTCTATTCAAATCGGGATAGTGATTATTAATAAACTTGCTGTTAATTGCGCTTCAGTTTGGATGTCAAATATGCTATACTACATGTACTGATGCACCAAAAGCGATTGTCATTGCTACCATTGTGACGATAGTAAAACAGAGTCTCCATCCATTAAATTGAATTATTCATGGTATTTAAATCCATTGCAAATTTGATGATTCGATGACATCGACAGCTGATTATGACCTTGGGAAGTTAATTAATGTCTAATTAAACATTTATTATGCAAGAGCTAAATCTGCCTATTGCAGGCCTTTCTTTGGGCCTGAAATGTTATCTAACTAAACTATTAATTAGACATTTATTAACAAAACAAGACAAGACCATAATCAACTCTCGATGGCATCGGATACTCGTGAGTTTAAATAGATTAGAACGGTTCGCTATTTAAAAGTTTAATTTAAAAATGGGAAAGCGACGCTAAGTCGCGAATATACCAGTGCCCTGGTTACCACTATGCACGCAACTTGTCAAAACTACGAACTGATAATTTAGCTCAGAAGGAAGTAATTTGAATGAAATTTCCAATATTCTCTATTTTAATCATCTATTTTTGAATTATTATAGCAAGAATGACCAACTATTTTTTAAACTCGTAACTAATGTATCTTTAATCATTTATATAAAATTCTAATTTGTGTTTTTAATTTCAAATATAGAAAATATAGAGTTATTACAGATGGTTTAACCACTTTATTCATAGGGTAGGCCTACATTACATAATTGTTTTCAGGATTTATACTGAATACAGATCATTAATGTTTCATTTCTTTTCAAGGGTTTATAACTTTTATATTTTAGCTTAGTTTTCTGTTATAGAGATACAGCTTCATCTGATAAAATAATTTGTAGTTTTAATTTTTAAGGTTTATTAACTTTTTATGTTTCAGCATATAATTTTTTTATTTCAGGACTATACTGAAATGCACTTCCTTGAATCCCCAGTATTTAAAAAAACATTTAGTAAACTTTTTACTCTCAGGGTCTTGGAGTGTATTCCAGTATGGTCTTTACGTTCAAGTGGCAGTGTTTGGGTTTGTGAACGTAAAGGCCACAACCACATTACTGCTGGCGGTCCAGTTTATGACCACTACTGCCGCTTTTGTGATTATGGTCTTTATGGTTCTTGCTGATTTCCTAACCACTAATTTATTGAATCTTTGTAAATGATATATAGAGAGATATGTAGCTCACTTTACTTACTCCATCTATCCCAGATTCAACATGTTGAAAACCAAAAGTATAAGTTTTAATTCATTTATTTTTCTGCAAAGTTGTTTAATTTTACAAACTGTATAATAATTTTATTTTGTTCTTTTATTTTGGGGTCTAGTTGGCTCATAGCGTTATGGCGCTGGCCCTGGGTTAATAAGATAATTCTAATGTTGGGTCAATTTGTCATTGAAATTACAAAAAAAGGCTGTTTTGAATTTTCGTCAGCAATCTCCCAGTAATAGAATATAATATTATATAATCCCTGGGATTTTTTTATCTTCTGATGAACAATGAGCAATTTGTCCCTGCACCTGACCAACAAGCCAACAGTTAAGCTACTGTGCCTGCCGTAATCCCAAATAGACTCATAAAATTAATTGCACATTTAGTTTTTTGAAAAGTTTTGAGCAATGAAACTGATTAGCTAAACTTTCTGTAAGCAGAAAATGTTCACAAGCAAACTCAGTCAAGGTTTTGAAGTACTAAGCACTAAGTGTTTCCACTCTCCTCCGTCAGTTAGAATGAAAGTAATCTTGTCCCAAAGCATCTACCAATGGAATTGCTTAGCTTGAATCCCCGGTTGTACGTGACAAGGAGTGGGTCGCCTGTCCAACCTTGTGGGTTTTCTCTGGTTTCCTCCCACTGCTATAGAACCCTACGTGCAAGCGAATTATTGATATAAAATTGAACCATTTGTCAGTCCCGAAATGGCCTAGTATCTCTCTCTCTCTCTCTCACCCCCCTCTCTCTCTCTATCTCTCTCTCTCTCCAAGGAATTTATGGTAATCAATATTTACATGTTCCTATAGTGCTAAAGGATTAACAATGATTGTTTTCTGATTGTCTATTGAGCAATGATTGGAAACCTGTCAATATATATTATATAATATTATGTAATATATTACTGTATATCTCTATACACCCTAGCTTCTGTCAATCAATTATTTAATACATCGTTTAACAACATGACATTGTCCTCAGCTTGTTACCTAGGTAACCAATTAAACAACTATTATCATATACTTTATGCACTGGGGTTAAAATTCTAAACAATAGTTGAACTGCTAAAAAGACAAAAAAAAAAGGATTTGGGATGTATGTCCTATGGCCGCTATTCTAATCTTTAACATCGGTGGGGGTCATGGTGGCTAAGTGGGTAGCTGGCTCGCTAGCATGGAGGTCGGATGTTCGATCCCTGCATTGGCCGAGAAATTTCATCGAGATTTTCCGGCGTGGCCCCCCCTTGTCAGTGATGCAGGCCGGAGGGTTCCACGTCACTTGAAATGAAATGAAAGGGGGTTTAACGTCCTACTGTTCTGCTCCGAATGGGTTAATGAAGACTATAGCTAGCATCCATCATACAGTGTGCTATGGGGACATTTTGCCTACTCTTATATCGTCGAATTCCAACTGTCAAGGGATCTTTTGTGTGCATTCCAATAGTGTACATGGGACTTGTTTTTCATTCCATCCAAACAACTAGACAGCTGTCCTTGTCAAGCCCTCCGTCTTGCATCACTGACAAGGGGGAACCACGCCGGAAAATCTGGATGAACTTTATCGGCCAATGCGGGGATCGAACACCCGACCTTTAGGCTAGCGAGCCAGCGTCCTACCCACTCAGCCACCTTGACCCCATAACACTTGATGACCCCAGTGTGTAACCCTTTACAAGAAAGAGTTCCCACCCCCAACAAGGGCGGATACTGAGGGGTTAAATGAGCAAGGGTGTTGTCCATACTAAACTTATGTTGTCTGTCTATACTAAGCTAGTGGACCGACATTTTAAGTCCTAAATCAACGAATTTAGTTGAAAACACGAACGCATTATTCGCGAATGGTGAAAAGTATTTATTCTGCTTCCATTTAATAAAATTGAAAAAGTTTATCTAATTTGAGGGTATGACAATCACATTGCTAAATAGTATACTAATTTCTGGATATGGTGGTCGTTCAGGATAGAGCTCTATTCTCCCAGGTATGAAGTATATGGACCTCTGTGTGCAGTATGGGGTGTAGTCCACAAATATTTCATAACCTCAGTGTGTATACAAGATATTGCGCTATAAATATTCATTATTATTCTTATTTGGGATGGGGATGGGGGTGGGGGTGGATGGCCGAGTATTTAGCGTATGCGCGTTTTATCATAGGATCTGTCATTAAGTCAACTTGCATGGTTTTGATTCCTTGCTTGTACATGACAAGGAGTAGGGTCGCCATTTTAACCTTGTGGGTTTTCTCTGGGTCCTTTGGTTACCTCTCACTGCTAAGGGCCCCTATGCGCAAGCGAATTTTTGAAATAAAATGGAACCATGTTAGTCCAGAAATGACCTAGAATGTGTCGAGTGGATGTTAAACCCCATTTCTCTCTTTCTTTATTTTGGCTGTAAAACTTGAAACTTTCCTCCACTAGCCTAGATCGGTCACGGCTTCATTAATACCATTGTCCTTAATCCACCACATGTTCATTAGTTGATGAAGGGCTGTGCCCCGAAACACGTCCTGGATTAAACCATTATATTTTAAAGTCTTGTTAAGATTGTTGTTCAGGGATTAATTTATTTGGATTAATCTAAAGAACATGGTGGTACATGTAAACTGACATATAACTCCATAAATTGTTAATCAGATCTTTTATCCCATGTCTAACAGTATATCTCCCCAGGACAATCAGGTGTTAACTGGTAATTACTAATGAAGAAAAGTAATTAACTTTATTGTTGAGGTCAAAGGTCAATATTATTGAAGTATGTCCTAGTTTAAACAATGCTATGAATTTGTAGGTTGTAGTAGGATGGGTTTCAAGTATATCATATCCTAGTGTGGATATTTTATAAGTATAAAGTGGGATGGTCATGCGGGTGTTAGGCACTTCAATAGAAGGTGTTACTACCAGGTATATCAAATATAAACAATACCAACACCCCCCCCCCCCCTGCTCAGGATCAAATTAGGGTGTCTGGTTCTTTAAATAGTCAGAAATGGTAATCTGAAATTTCTGGAAACCGCCTCCTCGCGAATCCCCTCCTCGCCACCGAAAAAGTTCTGCATCTGCCCCACAATATCAGTACAAAAAAAACAAAACATCTTTGTATTATATTTATCCTGTCAAATGAAACTATTTATAATTATTGAGAAATCTTATAGGAAAGATCAATCACATGTGTATCTATCATATTTGAGATGGTTACTATCACATCCGATAGTGAAACTTGGAACATGGGGTTTGTCCAATATAAGAATTTACAGTGATGCAGGACGGAGGGCCTGACAAGGACAGCTGTCTAGTCCTTCGGATGAGACGAAAAACCGAGGTCCCGCGTATACATTGGAATGCACGTAAAAGATCCCTTGGCAGTTGGAATTCGATATAAGAGTAGGCGATAGTGCCGCTGTCCGGGCAAAATTTCCCTCATAGCACACTGTATGGCGTATGTCCGTCTTCATTAGCCCATTATAGGAGCAGAACAATAGGACGTTAAACCCCATTTCAATTCATTTCATTTCACTGTATCACCTCTCTCCCCCAAACCACGTGGGTAAGATATTGGTACATTCACATGACTATCAACTCACGAGACCATATCACGTGAATCAAGGTATATATATATATGGAAAATTCTGCGTACTAAAATAAATGTATGGAGGAGTGTCATCACATTTTAAATTTATGTAAACTGAAACCGTTTTGATTAGATATAAAGCAGTAGGCTATCAATTTAAGATATTATTAAATGGGTGACTGGTTTAAATACCCGAGCAAGGTCATGAAGTTTATGTTTTGAGTAATTCGGACCTTTTCATATAATTGGAAATATATTTTGCTGTTGCTCAGTTCATTGTTTTTTTTAATCTGTGGTTTTGACTTGACAAGGCATTTTCGTAAATTCTAAGACGGCTTATGCAACATATTAACACGATCAGCAATATTCACTAACCCAGAACGCAGAAAAAACTTGACAGGTGACGTAGTACCACGTGGCTTTGTTTATTTGCTGCTATTTTTAGGATTTACCTAATCGCTGGATTAATACGCGTTAGTGTGCGAATAGCTGATTGTTTTGTGACGTCACTCGGGGATTATTGTGTTATCACAAGGTATAATCTCGATATTTATAAAGTTTAACGTTGGCAACTGTATATATACATGTGATTTTAGTAGTGATATCCAATAAATGTAATCGTGTGTATGGAAACAACACCGTTCACAGGGAACTATTTTTTTTATCTCGCAATGATATCTAGAAAAGGGTGAAAACATCGTAGCCATATTGAGGAAGAAAACAACCTTGCAACAATAATTTATTCTGAATCGTAAAAACAATATTTCATCTGCAGACATGAAGTGGCAATACAAAGAAGAACATCCCTTTGAAAAGCGACGGGCAGAGGGAGAGAAAATCAGAAAGAAGTACCCAGACCGTGTACCAGTACGTATAAAAATGTCATTTCTGTTTTGTGTTTACAATGAAAAATCGGCCATATTATTTTGGCTGGGTCAGCTGACAGAAAGATGGCTTCCCCAGAAATTGCGATTTGTTTGGATTCATTGTTACGATCTCATTGGGAACAGAATTGAAGCCTGATCCTCGAATTTGATTAGCAGATGTCATCCCCAGCGAAAATTGAGAATGTTCAGACTTTCTATTTTGAATTTTTATTTTATGGAGCTCGCCCAGAAATCGATTAGCTCAAATTTGCATAAATTTCTAGATCCTACACTGGCTACAGTTGTATTTGGTTTGCAACACAAACTATTTTGAACATACACTGAATATTTTGCCATAGAAGTTCCTGATCTGCATCCACTAGATCTAGATTTTATGAGACAAAAAGGCTATTTGGTGATCCGTGTTCCAGTGCACAATAATGCTGACTCTTCGTTGACCTGTCTAAAAATAGCTATTTATTAGTGAGGCCATCTCCTTGGTTTGCCAATTCTTTGTCAAACTGATAAGATAGAATGATTTAATAATACACTACACTAGAAACCTTTCACTGTCTTCTTTAGCCCAATTGGTGTAGACAAGTTGGTTATTAATGTTAAACCCTGTTCCATTTCTAGATTTATATTTTTATGTCAAC